AAAGGAAAGTAAGAAAGTTAAAATGTCTACTAGTATAAGAGTCAGATATTTTGTCAGGAAAATCTTGCAACTTAAAGCTCCTTGACTTTAAACATAACCTTGTCACATGGTTCAAATGGTGTGTGGGCTTGTTTATGAGAAAAAGGAAACCTTTAATCAAGGTTTCCTTTTTCTTAATTGTTTGTTAATTTAACAGCATTTTCGTTCCTCTGTTTTATGCCTCTTGTCTTTTTGCTCGTTGCAGTTCAAATGTTGAAATGCACCTGCAGCTGTTTCTCTAACAGCTCACTGTTACACTTGCTGTGATTTAATGAAGAAATTCATTTTTTTTAAAGTCAGCAGTCACTTTTACACTTTGATTAAACGTCCCATCATTAAACAACAACTTGCTCTCTGTCTCTGCTAATTCATCTTCAGTAAAGCTTCAACTCCAGGCAACCTCAGTGGGAGAAGTGGTCATCAAAGGGATTTGTGCAAACCGATATCTGGCAATGAACAGAGACGGACGACTGTTTGGAGCGGTGAGTGACTTGGATCGGTCTTTCCATCAACAAAGCTTGTGCTGTTTCTGTTCCATAAAGGATCTTGCTAATCTGTATGAAACAGACTTGATTAAACTCACAGCTCTGTGACAAGAAGCATTAAGGTTGCAGTGTTTTGGAAACCAAATATTTTCCAGTACTGTGACAAGAAATCCTCCCATTCTAAAAATAATTAAGTTTATAGCCTCTCGCACTGGACTCATCAGAACATTCAAATTATAATAGTAGACCACTGTCGTGTGTGTGTGTGTGTGTGTGTGTGTGTGTGTGTGTGTGTGGCTGGCAGTTAGCGGACCCAAATTGCAGACTCAGAGATAAATTCAGAACTCACACAGCTTTATTGCTGGAGTTCGGGAAACTAAACACAAACAACAGAAAACTCGTCTAAACTGAACTTTAGAACTTACATGACTAAGTAAACAGGACGCGTACACACAAGGAGGGGATGATAATACACAAGATAATGAGAGGATGGATGACAGGTGGAAACGCAGCTGGAACAAACTAGACATAATGAGAGAGAGGAAGCAAAGCTGAACATAAGGCACGTGACACAATGACTATCAAAATAAAACAGACAGAGACCAGACAAGGAAGACACAGAACGAGGGCGAGATAGCAGAGAACACAGGAACCAGATAGACACACGACTGGGAAAACAGGCAAATGAACATGGAGGCAAAACAGACTTCCCAGGGAGACACAAATAACTAACACAAGAAACTAGATACTAGAGGACGTGGAACACAGAGGGAAGACTAAGACAGACTAAACATGAAATGGAACTAAATTAAACAAAATTAAGGGACAGAGAACTCAGAAATATAAGGAGAAAAGACATAATATTAAACAACAATTCAAGGCAAGCACAAACTACTGGGTCACAAAGCCGGGACAATGACAGACCACAGTTACGCACAACTGACAAGATGCATCAATCAATGCAATCAATAAGCAAAAGACATAAACTGCACACATTTAAATAAGTCATCTCTGCCAAATCTTCCAAAACAATATATGAAAGTTTCCTTTTTTGTAACAAAAAAACAAAAAAAACCCATACAAATAGTTTTAGTGATGCACTAATATACTGAGTATTTATCCAGCAGTGTGGATACCTGCATGTGAGTAGTTAATAATTATTATTAATAATTGGGAATTATTATAACTGCAGGCTTTTATTAAAAATACTTAAATTATTAAGCATTTTGGGTCTGAAAGACTGAAAATTGAACAGTACTTATTTTTTAAATAAAAAAAGACATTATTATTATTATTATTATTTTATTATTATTAATATTATTAATAATAATAATAATAATAATAATAATAATATTGGAAATACATAATAAAAGCAACAAAAAATTGCAGAAGTTTTTTTTTAGAACAAATGAGAACCAGTGATTTTACTTTGTTGACTGTTGATGCATATTAAAATAAATAAATAAATAATGATAATTTAATCTAATTAAAGATATGCTGCCTTGCATTACTTGTATTTAGTCTTGGAATGATTCCTAACTGCACTTTTCCCTGTTACTAAGCTATTATAGTTTCAGCGTTGCTGTGAGTAAACCACTCCAGTTTCATGCCAATGCTGGTCTGTTGCCACAGTTGTTGCTGTTTATTGTGGAAGTGTGAACTGTTGGTGACTGATGTGGTTTGGTGGTTGTGAAGGCTCGTATAAAATCCATGTCATTTGCAAAAGGCATCTCCTCCTAATGAGAAGCTACAGCAGCAGAATGCCACCCAAGGCATCGCTCTGCTCAATAAAAGACCCACGTGATGGTCTCTGCACTACCGTTTGCTTCCAAGAGATTGTGAAAGCAGTCGTTGTCAAGCAAATTAGAATTCACTGACGCTGATGTAACACTTTGTCTGGAAAGTGCCAAATCTAGCTTTGGAGTTGGGTCATCTAGAAAGAGAGGGGATCTTGATAGATTTGTTTTGAATCATATGATCAACAAATACTGCCTATTGCACAAATATATACATTAATAGATATATGCCCTGACTGGTTAATTCAGTAGGTGCATCTGTTCCACTGCTCATTAATGCGTATAACTAATCATCCAGCAGCAAATCAGTGCATTTAGGCACATAGACATGGTTAGATGACCTGCTGAAGTTCAAACTGACCATCAGATTGGAATAGAAAGGTAATTTAAGTGACTTTGAAGGCTGCGTTATTGTTTGTGCCAGACAGGCTGGTCTGAATATTTACCACATTGAGGGTTTAAAAAGGTGACAAAATATCCAGTAGCAGCAGTTTGCTGCTTCAAAAATGCCTCGTTGATGCCAGAGATCACAGGAAGATGGCCAGACAGCTCTCAGCTGATGGGAAAGCAACAACGATTCAAATAACCACTTGTTATAACAAAGGTATGCAGAAGAGCATCTCTGAACGACCACACAGGTGTCACTTTTGTCAGCTACGAATGTGCCTTGTTTTAATATTCTTTGATCTACAAACATTTCCACGAACACATTTTTAGGACCAAAGTCATTTTATTATTGGGAGTTTTGCACAGTGAATTAAACCAGGTAGACTGAGTTGTTGTTCCAGAAAATGTCTTCTGACTAATAGCAGCACAGTCACAGTCAAATAAAAACAGAAACTAAACAAAAGGGTTTAGTTGGACCGAGCATAGGGAGTCAATGCCCAGCATGATTTTGGCCAGACGTTTTCTACAAAGGACAAATCTAAGAAAGAATCTTGGGTAAAAATAGATGGACAACAACGTGGCAACACAAGAATCATACCATTTACTTTAAAGATTGTCATCTTTAGCATTCTCCAATAAGATTCCTATAAGAGTCCTGTTAATTTCAAGTTTCTCTTTGACTGACATCATGACTTGTTTATTTTTAGTGAGGTTCAACTACGGCACACATTGTCCTTATATTCATGGAAAGGTATGACTGTCTTTATTAAATAAGTGGGTTTATTACCACAAATCACAGAGTAAATAAACAACAGTCAAAATAAAGGTTGCATTTAGTTACAAAGTTATTTTAGGTGGAAACTTAATTACAGAATATATTAAACAATCATATTTCATTAAATCAATTATATTAAAGTAAACATTTTCACTCAAAATTCCTATATATATGTATGTATATACAAAATAAAGGATGTGATGAAATGCCACTGTAAGTAACAAGATGCCCCTTAGATTGATTTTTATACAGAAATCCTGTTTAAGCAGAGGATACTGATAAGGCTACTCAGCAAACAGAGTATCTTAAACTATATTACAAACTAGTGTCACAGTCTTCTTAGGTTCTTAGCTCGTGAGTTGATCTAAGTTTACTAGGTGGCACTGTGTCCCAGTAGCTTTCTAATCTGCAGCCCCTGAAATTATACCTAAGCGGCACAGTTAAATCCACTGCAGACAGCATAACAGTTATATTTTATTTGCATTATTCTTCTGTGTCTTTCTCTACAGAGAAGAGCAACAGATGAGTGCTACTTTTTAGAGCGGCTCGAGAGCAACAACTACAACACCTACCGCTCCAGGAAGTACCCAAACATGTACGTGGCGCTGAAGCGGACTGGCCAGTACAAGTCTGGAAGCAAAACTGGACCGGGTCAAAAGGCAATTCTCTTTCTCCCAATGTCTGCTAAATGCTAATCTGGGCTCAGAGTGAGAGATACTGATGTCTGAATGGAAAGATGTGACGGCAATGAAGCAAGCCATCAGCATTGCCCAAAATAGCTGTGAAGCTTTACTGTTAGATCCTAACAGTTATTATTTTATCATAAACATGTCTGCAATTATTCAGCTTCACTTTAAAATTAGCACCATATAGTCATACCTTTTATTATATTATAATATTATTATTACTATTATTATTAACCAGAATTTTACTGCAGCCCAACCAACTGGAGCCAGCTGCCTAGTGCATCTCAGTTAAACAGCAGTACAACACAGTGGGTTTTTAAAAAAAAAAAATTAACATAACTCTCTCTCCATAAGGATTCAAAACAGCTATCTGCTTAACCTTAACCTAATGAAAGTCTAAGTTGGAGTCTGGGTTTAAGTGCAGGGTGTTGGTAATATACTGCATATTTGAGTGTTTTCATAAATAAGAAAACACGTTTAAATCCGACAATAATCTAACTGTATTATAGAAGTCTGAAAAATATAAAATTTGAATTAAAAGAAGAAGAAACACTAAAAGCAAAACCCAAGCATTTCTTCTCCTTTTGAACACGTAGGACTTGGACTGTTAAATAGATAAGTGTTGACTTGGTGAATTGTTGTATTATTGGCTGTTGATTGTGCTTGTTCGGCAAGAAACACAACCTTTAAATCCCAGCACAACATTTTAAAGACATTGCTTTGCCTTGTCATCACCATATTACTGACTGTGAAAAAGTCATTTAAAATCAGCGGTCCCCAACCTTTTTTGCGCCACGGACCGGTTTATGTCTGACAATATTTTCAAAGACCGGCCTTTAAGGCGTCGCGGATAAATACAACAAAATAAAACCAGTACCGGTACCAAAAAAAATGTATTCATAACACATGGTAAAAGACCCAGAGAAACAGAGTTAACGCTAAAAACAATAAAAATAAAAAAAAACTATAAAAACCGATAAAACCATAAATTTCACACCCGAGCCTGAACTCTCGCGGCCCGGTACCCTACGACTCGGGGGTTGGAGACCGCTGATGTAAATGACCAACATGGAGAGGAAAACCTATATTCATTGCTGGCAGTTGTTTGGGTGGTAAAGAATTCATTTTTGACTTACAAAGTTGGCAGTTTTTTCCTCCATATACCCCCTCCCATTTCTGAAATGAAACTGGAACCAAGATAAAATTAGCTAAAGTCACCACTTATCTCTGACAGTGATGTCATTTTTTATCATTGATTAATACATATTACAAGACCGCCAACTTTGGGTTTTGAACATGGCCACCAAGACGTGTTAAATAAAACATTTAAAACTGCAGCAATGCAGATGCAAAAAGCATCCTAAAATTTGCAGTGTGTTTTTAATCCAACCGGTTACACTGTAATTCTTCAAAAGTAACAGTCCAGCTATAAATACATTTTTAATATTTGACTAATGGTGACAACCGTGCTTCACCATATCTGGCTACAATGAGGTGATCTGTGGAGCTCCTATAATTTCAGTATGGGAAGCTGTCTGTAATATAACTGGTAAAATCTCCCAGAGTAAACAGCAGGAAGCTCCTCCATGTTGAGGTCAATCTTATCAAAGCCGTGCTCCAGGCCATGAAGCAGAAGACTGGCTAAGCGAGAGGTGATGGGCGTGGTCTCGCTGGTTTTGGCCAGCTCGCTGATGTCCAGCCACTCGCAGCGTAGACACTCCTGAGTGCAGAAGTTGATCTCGTAGGTTAGCGGGCTCAGCCGGCAGATGATGTACATGTCAGACATGCCGAAGGCACCGGGGTGGTTGTGCTGCTGCCGGATACTTAGCAGAGATCTGAACTCGGAGCGAACACCAGTTTCCTCAAACACTTCACGAACAGCAGTCGTACCTGAGAAAGATTTATTTAACATTTATACATGGAGGCATTTAAAAGACTTTGATCTAGGAACGATGATCCAATTCCACTGTCAGTATTACCTTGCAGATGGCGTTAAGAAGGGAAAAAGGAAAATACACATATATTTTTGAACATTTGATGCTGCTTTTCGGGTTGGGTCATGTACATAATTTTAAAGCTGCTTTTTAAAAGAAAAGGTGAATTTGAAGAATTTGCATATATATCATGTGCCTTATTTTGTATAGTTCAAATGAATGTATATGTATCATCTTTAAGTATAATGTTACACTCCAAAGAATTTAGCTACATGTACTGTATTAGTTCTTTTGCTCTGTTGAGCGTGACACTCACCAATATTTTCTCCTGGATCAGACAAACCACCGGGAAACTTCCAAGCATTCTTTGTCTGAAATTCCAGAGCAAAGTTCAAATTTAACTTCAATTGTGATATATGGCACTGCTGTAAATGTATCTTAGATAATTATCAACATGTACACTGCAACAAGGTCTATTTCAGTCTTAGTCTAAAGTCACTTAATAATGCCACATTTTGTTTCCTCTGTTAGAAAATGACCATGGATCAAGCTGTAATAATGAGATGAGAAATGCTCCAGTCTGAGCATCCTTTCATGTTATGTTTTAGATTTATTTCCTCACTCTGGAGACTTTTACATTTGCTGTGGTGAAGTATGTCTTCCACAACTGTTTCACCACTTACCTTTGATATTTAATGACAGTATGCTGCTGGTTAAATTATGATGTCTGTGTATATATATTTTTGTAGTTACTTAAAGAATGTGCTGCGCTTTTTTTCCCTTGCAGATCCTCTCTTTGTGAGGAACACAAATGCACTACGGCATTTATTTTCATGTATTGTAAACCAAATGCTATATTTTTGGAACGGTTTCTAAAGTGTGCTGGTAGAAAGAAATAAAGAGACTTTGTGTAACAATAATTGTTGAGGTTCTTAAAAAGTCGAGCGTCTCTCTCTTCCCCACAGAAGGACACGCAGCGGAATGTAAAATCATTCCAAAGAAGTGCTGTAAGAATGCTGACCGTACGCAATCTGTTCACACTAAATCTACCGAGAAATGCTGCGTAAATGTCATTGCATGATGGTTAAACACTCTTACCATTACCTCATTCAGCTCCCTGATGGATATAATTACCTTGAGCCCACTGGGAATATGTAAGTTGTCCTGCAAGAGTGATAAAGTTTGGTTTCTTTTCAGGAAGTTCATAACCCTTAGCATGCTCTGAACAGACTCGGCCTGTAAGGAACTTTCTACTGCCAAAGGGCCAGACTGTTATAAAGCTCGTTTCCAGTAAACAGCTCGATAGGGAGGAGGAAAGAAGGAGGAGGAGCAGGGGAAGAGGAGATAGAAGACTCTCTACACTTCCAGGCCACTAACTGCTCGTCTCTGCTTTGGGACAAAATACATTACATGCTCCCATGACTGTAGACTGGTGCACATGTTAGATGTAAGCAATCATTTATAATGCAACATATGGATATGTTAAGATCTGTTTCTTAACTTAAAAGAAATGTTTTAAATATAATATTTGTACCTATACCTCAGTATAATAACTGGGTTAATAAATCTGGATCTTGCATACATAGGTCAAACCTCTTGGATCAGGACTGCAATAGTTTCTGTTGGGTTTGGCACTGATCACTTCTTTTATTTCTAGCAGACATTTGAGAGATGTTTTTTGCATGTAGAGGTCCAGCCTTTTGCCACTTTGCTTTGACAGTGAACAATGGTACATGTGTTGCAGTTAATGTTTGTGGAACAAACATGCTCATGTGCTGGTTTTGTGGCATGCCAGCACAGGTAATACTGACATTATCTGCAAAGCTGCTGAAAATGTCAAAATATATAGTAGATAGTAGTGAAAAAACAGAAACTCTAATGTCACCTAATTGTTTCTGTATTACTTAATTACTTCACAGAGGACTTCATCAGGAGGAAAACTGATAGCACTTTTTATCTGTCTAACATATAATATGATATGTTATCAAATAGAAACAGGCGGCTTTGCATTTTGCAGCCGTTTTCTGCTCATTACAGAGAAACTACTACAGATGTTTCCATTTAATAATCCAGACATTACATATAATATTTACAGTATTGCTTTTAAACAAATTAGAATGCTCGGAACCTAATGTAGGATTAATTCAAGCATTATAATATAGTAATACTATCCAAATATGCCTAAACATCAGTCAATATTACATTTTTACGATGAGATTATTACAGTTTAAACTCTCTATATACATTCTCGTTTCTGCCTTGTTACCCTACTGTTACCACTGAGCTGTAATAAGATGCTACCAGAAAACTCTAAATTGGCAAAAATGTATGCCATCGACTTTTTCCAATGCCATCCAGTGGCCTGAATAGGAGTCTTTGCTGGGCCGCTTTTGGGCCCAGGACCTTATATTTGACAATCTTAATGTATGAACCTGTCTCTATTAATTACAAGGAAAATACCACATACTGTAATAAAAGATGTACACAGCCACCATAATGTCAGACTTTGGTTTGAAACCTTAAGTTCAGGAAGTTGGCTGTTGCTGTCCTGCATTTCATTTTGGTTTCTTTTTAACTGACCATGATGGTTACATAGTATGCTCAAGATCAAAACTACCTGACATCAGATTTTCCACTAGTTTAGGCTGCTTATTTGAAAAGGTCTTAACATCTTATAAAGGACATCTTATGAGAGTAACAGTTCCCAAATGACATCAACATTACACAATCACTTTTCAAAATTGCCAGCAATCTTGTTTGGGCTGACCGAAAATGCAAACAAAGCTGTGTCGAAGAGGATTCAAAAGAGGCCTGTTGTAAGTTAACTTCAAAACACCATGAGCACTACAGCAGGGCTCTGTGAGAGCTTACAGACGCACACAGAACTGTTTGAGTGCATTCAACTCATGTAAACATCATGTTTGCTTGAGGTCAGCTAATTTTGTGTTGAGCTATGTTAAGTGTGAATGGATTTCCAGCCAAGGTTTGAGTCAACAGAGGCCCAAGTTACTAAATAAACAAATACTAATCATCCACATTTTAACAGCAGCATGACTGATCCATCAGTGGTTCATTTGTGTGACTGATATTGGACAGATCAGCTTTTAGGAGGATATAAGATGTGTAGATATAAGGTGTATAGCGCATTTAAATAATAAAGTCAAACAGATACCTTATTTCTGTCTTGGACAACAAGGACCTTTCCACTGGACTCATCAACAACTGCACCTGGACAAAACAATCAGTCAGACATTAATTTTATATATTATTCAAGCACCTGTGTCCCTATATGCTGGTTCACATTTTGCATATAAATCGTAATAATTTTAAGCAAAATGTGGTGGTAGACTGGCACAAAACCAATCATTTGGTTGGACACATAACACATGCATCATGTGGTGAAGAAGGCCGCTGTCAGGTTTCAGAAGATGACGACTGATTTGTTCGTTTTCTGTTTTGCTTCAAATCTCTGACCTACAAATACATCAAGATGGTAACAGTCTGGGCTGCTGAGCTGGACAAGCTTGAAGATTTGAGTAATTTGGTGAACTAAAACTGTAATGACTTGAGGTGGTTGGCACTGTTGGCTCAAAGCAAGGAGGTTCTGGGATTAAATCCAGTCCAGGGCCTTTCTGTGTGTTTGCATGTTCTGCCATGTGTTCCTTCAGTGTACTCCAACATGCCACAGTTCAAGGACATGCGTGGGGCTAGATTAATTTGTGACTCTTAACACTGACTGTATGCGATCTGCTTGTCTGTCACTATGTGTTAGCCCTGTGATAGATTGGCAACTTGTCTACAGTGTACCCTGCCGCTCCACCTGTAACATCTACATTAGGCTTGAGGCGCTCCTGTAAACTTGAATTGAATAAGTGGAAAAAAATGGATGGATGGCAAACTGTAAAGGTAATTATCCTAAAGGAATTTACAGTATGCACTGACATTATTGAGGTCCCACACTGCAAACATCTAAATCAGTCTATAGCCACAGATCAGGACCCACAATTATACTGAATTACATCCAGTAATGTAGTGACAAGATAAAGAAACATATCACAAGCTTTGCTGCAGAGAACAATTGTTCGGGGCAAGACAGTAATAACATGCTAGTCATCTCTTGTGTCTAGTTTAGCAGCAATTTAAAAAACAATAAAAAAGAATAATAAAAATAAACTGTAACATGTTCTATTTACAGTATAAAAAATGTAAACTGTGTTTGACAAAAAACTGCAATAGCATTATTTTGATATATTTACGTTGTGTTTACGTCATTAGCTATAAAAGATCAATATAACGTCGCCCAAAAAGTGGTTACTTTGCAACTTTAGAGCTTTAGATTTGTCACAATGTAACCAGTTGGTAATTTTATTAAATTACCAAATTATGATGTAATTTTTTGAATGGTTAGTCTACAGTGTAGCTGCTGGTTTAGTGGCCAGTTAAAGAAAAACAAAAACAAAACAACCAACAACTCTGAATAACACTTTTTTTTTTCAAAAAATGATGACAGTACCAAATACAGCAAATTTACAGGGCAGAAAGCCTTATGAGGAACACCTGTCAGACACAAGGATTGATGCGATCTATTGATAATGTATAAAATCTTGACATCAGCTGATTACTCATCGGCACTAAATTTAAAGTAATACTAGCCATACATATAGAATATCTCCTGAAAACAACAAATTTTAATGAACTGCAAATCTTCTAAATGAACAAGACCAAGACTCAGACAATTTCCAAAAACACAACTAAAAATTGTTTCTGTGGAACAGCAAATTGCTTTACTTTCTACAGTTACAAAGTCTGAGTGACTCAGCTGAGAAATTTGTGGACATCCGACTTCAACATTTACAGTTTTTTTCTGATGTTTCTCAGCAGCTAGTGACTAAGCAAGGCAGTTATGCGCTGCTGACAGTTGAGGAGGAGGAGGAAAAATGAGCCACTTTCTTTTCCGGTTGCTCTGTCTGACCGACCAAGACAAGCCTCCTCAAATGAATGTCACAGATGCGTAAAGAGGGATGTGTCTTGCTAAAGGCTTGACTTGGACTTCCAAGTGGAAATTGATGTCATCCCCAGTCCCTGTGCCATATGGCGCAGGAGGACGCCTGGTTTCTGCTAAAGGAGGCTATCATTATTTAGCCCTCAGTCCAAGAAATAAAATGGTCATGAGGAGCGGGGAGCAAGAATTACAGTACGAGACAAAAAAACCCCTGTGGATTCAATAGAAAAAACTGTTTATCACTTAATTGTATAGTTAAACTTTGAGCCACTTACTTCATATTTCACACATTTTTGTCTACTGTCTACTACTCTTTGGTATCGCAAACAATTACAGGTTCATGCTCTTATCTTTACATTATGAGGTCATTATGAATCTGAGCTTCAAGCCCACTAAGTTTTAAATATAAAACAGTTGGCAAGCGTCTTCAAACTGTATCCTGGAACCAAGGAGGAAAAAGCAGGAGAAATAACTAAGAAGAGGAAGAAGGAAAGAGTAACAAGACAATCACCCAGCATTGTTGTTTACTTGTGATTACCTCTTCTACAGATAAAACTTGGCATCAATGTTAATGTAAAATAATGCTTGATTCAGGTTGGTGCCGCTGTAGCGATTGATTAGGGAGAATCAAATTCCCTTCCCAATGGAAATTAAAAAAATACTTACAAATATGAAATAAAAACATATATTGAAGAGTGGCAGTTAATTTGAGCCCTATAAGTGTTTTTCCACTGCATCACAGAGACATGGAAATTAGTTTACCTGGACCACTGAAAAAAGGCTCTGCTAAGTGTGCTGAACAAAGTGAATTTCCTAGCTTAAATAAAAAGGAACTGAAACCTCTGCCTAAATAACAAGCTACAAAATGAAGAGACTACTACAGGTTTAGAGGAGACACTAAAGTGTCCCTGCCCACCTTTGTAGTTATCTTAGAGATTTAATCAAAGGCTCTGCAATGTGAAAAACAGTTGTGTTTTTCCCAGTAACTTTCACTCTTTTGTTTTTTGTTAGGGGTCAAAGCCAAGGCCATTATGACTTTCAAATAACTTCTGACATTAATTGACAGTGTTATTAGTGAGTACTGTTTTGGGGTACTGGCCAAAACTACGATAAGAACCAGTTGTGAAAAATAACCTTTTTACTCTCTTATTGGGTAAAATCTGAGTCTGGCAGGACATCAGGCGTATGGATGACAGAGGATTTAATGGATGACTGCTTTCCAATCACGAGTTATACTTTTGGCCCTATTGCTGTATCTTTGTGAAAATAATCAAGAGCCACAGTCAGCACACACATAAGGAAACTGGAATCTAAACAGCTGTGTATTTCAGATTCCTGAACCCAGTTTCATCATCAAACAAATCTGGCATCTAAAAAAGGGAGTTTCTGGTCCCCATTCCTCAGAAAGATGCTCTGGACATGTTCTGACATGCTTTAAGTGCATCTACTCTTTGGTAAAGGTATGAATGGCACTCTGCCCTCTGCTGGACAATCACAAAGTTAGCACTTGGGCTGAGCAACTCCTTTTCCTGTTGATCGTCTCTTCACTGTCAGTCCTGAGTGAATTTCCATTTGCGTAAGTGAAATGAGCCAGAGTTAAAAAATGCAAATCCCAAATGACAAACAAGCTTTTATCCATTTAAAGATGATAACAAACTACTGGTGTTTTGTGTTAGCACCAAATGTAGGTCACAGTTTACTCCAGCTTTAGCTATTTAAAAGTGATTTAAAAGTGACAGCAGAATACAGTTTGATTTTTCAACACTTTTACATCTTTTGTCACATCTGACAGATTCTGTCACACAACCACTCGCAACACGCAAGGCACTCATCATATTAGGAAACAAATGCGGAGGGCAGTTGTCATCGCTGATGGGTTTACATAGACTTTGTGTCCATAACAATTGTCATTTGGTCTAATGTGCTCGGCTCAATCATCCACAGATGAGATTCTCTCTTTCACAGCACAAACTCTTTCCACTGAGAGGTTGATGTAAAAACTACCAGGAGGCGACAAGATATGATCAAATAGTTCAGCAGCTTTACTCAGAAAACCTAAAAAATTTTATTTATTTAAATGTGTACACTTCTGGATTGGTTCCAGCTCTACGGCTATTTTGTTTAATGACCCTCGCAAGTATCATCCAGATCACTTGTTCTTGGACATCTGCCACGGACCTCAGACTTGTACAGAGAGAATCAAGAGGATACCTGCAGGTTTTTCAACATTTACAGGGTTATGCATTCTGAATTCATTCCACAGGGTCAGATTGTCCCGATGGAGTTCTGCCTGAAGGAGAACATTTGACAGAAATAACCAGAACTTTGCTGAATTTCATTGTGCAATCCAGCACTGGCATATAACAATGAAAACAAGGGGGGTTTTTTTGGCAACAAACACCTGTTCTACTTGCCCAGTTTGACTCACTGCAACTTGTCCTTTTCCCTAAAAGGCAATTCAGGGAAATTCATACTGGAGAAGATACAGTACACACTGTGGACGCAAACGTTCAAGTAGACAGAACAAAACTTGAGGTTACTCTATTCCGTAACCCCCGTTCTCATTGGCTAGCAGTCATGACACTTGCATCAGGGAGGGTCCACCCTCCTCCCTATAAAAGGGTGTGATGCAGCATCACCCGTCATTCAAGATAAATTCACCTCTTCCTCACTTCGTGCAAGGAGGGTGACCTTGTGAGACACCTCACACATGTTATCAGAGAATGGGGGTTACGGAATAGAGTAACCTCAAGTTCTCTTTCAAACATTTGTTTCGGTGTCTCACTATGGGGATATGCAGACTTCCGTATTGCCAGATAAGCCCATCTGAACAACTGACCGCCACCTTAGGAGGTCTCGTGGGGACCCACACAATGTGGGCTAGAGATGGTGCAGTGACAGACCCGTGCTGGAATAAGCCAATTGCATTGCCTCAAAAATCCAGTGGGAAATGCATTGTTTGCTAATGGGCTTCCCAACATGTGGTTTAGGCCAGGAAACAAACAGCTGATCCGACCTCCTGAAAGCCTTTGTTCTCTCTATATAGGTACACAAAGCCCTAACTGGACAGAGAGCATGTAGGTGCTCCTGTTCAGGGGAGGAGACAGGAGGAGGCAAAAAGCTTCTTATTTTATTTTTATTTTTTTGCCTGTCCTGTTTGGCTCTTTTGCCATCAGAATTATTGTCTAAAGGCGAAGAAAGATGCCCAACGGATTTACTTTACCAA